TTTTTTGATCTTGGATTGAATCTCATTTTATCCTCAAAATCTTATTCGATCCTATTCTATAGTTTTCCTCAAATCTAATCAATATAGAGTAGGAAAAAAGAGCTATCCAGATATTGAACATAGTTTAATAAGTTTCAATTAATATTGTCTATTGATATTACTTATATATATATAAGGAAAATTTTTTAATCATTCTAATATCTTGTTTAATTAAATAGAAGAAGATACTAGACCTAATATTTTAATTTCTCGAGCTCTTGTTTGGACGACAGCTTAAGAAAATAAAGAAGGTAAATTACTTGATGAGCACACTCGAAAAGTTTAGGAGAATTGTGTGAGTACTAGTATTTTAGTGTATTACTTTATTTACATTATTTACTTAATAATTAGTTTATAATTTATTCAACAAGAAGTATTATCACAATCAATATCACAAGATGATGCAGGTGAACATGTGGATGTCTTTGGTAAGGCATTGAGAGCTCCAGAGGTCTCGGTTGCATTAGAGGAGTTGGACTTAGCATTTCTCAAGGCACCTACTTTGAATGTCGGTCTAAAATTTTTACCGAACATGATTTTAATGCAAAGATGTTAGAAATGGAGGCAGGAATGAAAAAAATTCAAGATCATATGAAAAAGAGATTTGAGCAAATGATTAGAGTCGTAAATGTGCCACAAGCTAGCTCCAGTGACAAAGATAGCTACTCATTCCATACTAAAAAAAATTTTCCTAAGATTATCATTTTTCTTTATCTATCTTCTCTTTATTCACAAATGATGTTTCACATTTTCTTAAAAATATTAATTTTTTTAATTTTTAGGGTGAGTCTCAATGTCAATTATGGTTAGAATTACCATATTGTCATATTGTGGCACTCAGATCTGTGTATAATGATAATAGTATTATTATACACTCCAGTCTCTTACCTGTTGATCACTTAAAGGTGAGACTATAACTATTTTAATAGAAAATGATGCTGAGTTGTTAGTGCAGATAGAAGATGGGGATATATTCATGATTTTTAACGCCATTGAAAGTTATGTGGCTTAGCCTAAAAGGCTCATTAAGTTACAGGTATAATGATTGATTGTTCTTAAAATCATTAATGTATTATTTCAGCCTTACCAATTAATTTTACATTTTATAGTCCTCAAAATCTAAAAAATAGTAAAGAAGCCAATCAAAGCGAAAGGAAAGTTGTCGAAAGGATCTACACCTATAACTAAGGTAGGGAAGATCGATGTAGAATCTACTCGACTAAAATATCCTCATCAAAATGCATTTGAAGTGATTATGTGGACAACATTTAAAAATAAAATCCGTGAAGTAGAATTTGAAAAGGAGATTTATAATGAAATGATTAGTGAAAAATTAGCAACTGAAAATATCAATGAGATTCTGACCAAGGATTAGTTACAAACCACAAAAAATTAGTTTATACATAAAGTATCTAAATTTTATTGTTTATTGAGGTATTATTTAATATTAGTTGTGAATGTTTCTATTTTTTTATTTTAGGTACTTGTATCATACTTTTATGATGCCGGGCTCAATGATAATAAAATTTTCATTTATTAGCCCTCCCAACACTAGTATATATAGTGTTGAGTATCATTCTCAAAAATTATTGGTACATTCAAAGTCAAAGACAAGATAAACATGTTATTTTTAGCTCCTCACAATCCAAGATAAGTTGTTATGGTAAGTTGTCATTTTTATTCATCTTTAAATTTAGTTGACATTTTAGTTAATAAAATATTTTATTTTTTTAAACAACATTAGGTGCTCGTTTGTATCAATCCTTTCATCCCTGTAATTCATTATCTTGACTCATTAAAACATAGCGACTTTTAGAATTATAAATTTATAAGGATATTATTTAATTAGTAAGTTTTTAGTTCTATATTCTTTATAGATGTTTATTATAATAATTAGTTTTTACTTAGTATGCTTAATCATTATAAGGCTGAAGCATGTTATTAAGGTGGTGAAGGTCTCCCTCCAAACACCGAAAGGCCTGATCCTGCTGAGTTTTATACATGAAAAAGAATAAAGGTTTATATTATTTTCTTAATAAAACAAGTTGGTAAGTATTTAAATGATTATTTGATTGATATTTTATGTTTATTATTTTGAATATGCTATTTTGAATTGATGTAAAATTTTTAAAAAATTCTGGAACTTCCAAGGTGTAAGGGAGACTCTGTTGAATTTCCGATAGTAAATATTTATATTATATATATAACTTCATCCCTAAAATACTTGATGTAGAATTTTTGAAATTTATTTCTACCATATTTTGATGATGACATCTTTTATTGTTTTATATAATTACAAAGTTGAGAGTTATGAATTTTATAAGAGAAGTAATTACACAACAAAAGTTGATCATTCTTGAAAATGCAAGCCAAAAGCTTTGAAATTAAATTAATATAATGTTAATTACTTATATATTGCTTTTATATCTTGTGTAATATTTTGTTGGAGCAAGATTCTCGCATTGTACTATGGAGCAAATAGAAGATTTAATTGAAGAGTGGTTAAAATGTATTATTAGCTATTTGTAATAAGAAGTTAGATTTCAATATTAAAAAAAATACCAATAGTCTCATCTATTAGGCTTGTTAGAAATTAAATTAATTAGTTAAGAAATTAAAATTGTTGTTTTAATTTTATATTCTTTCCTTGTATTTAAATTTTTATATTTATATTGTTTTGGATTAGTTTTTGATATTGACATTAATCATTTTTAAAGAGATATAAAGAGAGAAATTTAGAAAAATATAAATTTAAAAAAAAAAATTTATGGCCTACAATGAGCACTTGTGTACGTTGACATACAAGAATACTCTTCCCCTATATTGACCTACAGGAATATTCATTATAAGAGCGCTCCTGTATGTTGACATACGAGAGTGCTCATTACATGTTAAGTTATCTTAACAATAAAAATTAATTGCCATATGATTATGATTTTATTAAAAAGTAAAATAAAAACCAAATAGAATAGCAGAGGTGTTACAATCCGGGCATTATTTTCCTTTCTTTTTCTTTCTAAACCAAACAAGTTAATATTAAAATCTCTTCTTTCTCCTTCGCTTCACTTCCCATTTCTTTTATTAAAATTCCTTCCCTCCTCTCCCTCTAATGAACCAACAAGGGTTGATATTTTTCTAGTTGGGGTTTTTAAGTAAATTAATTTTAAAGGAATTTTGCATTTCAGCGACGCTTAATATTTCTTCATTTCTTTCGTTTTTTTTTTTTTGTAATAGGATAGAAATTCCCCGGGCAGCGACGAGGTAATCAATGTTGGTCATCCTGAATAGACAAGGGTGACTTGTGTCCAGCTCCATGAATTTCGAAGAAGTCATCCACATATAATATCTCATCTGGACGATTTGGTAATTATAGAAAAGGGGAAGTTGCAAACAGATGCGTTTGTTTTGATTTTATCTACGTATGGACGAGTGTATCGTCTTCATTAATTAATTTCAAGAAAGTCAAGCCACGTGCGGTGGAAAAACTCCTCAGCTGATATATATCATCTATGTGTCGTCTGTAACTCTCTCTATTGAAAACACTACTTTTGAAGCATTTATATATGCTTAACTTTTACGCGCAACCTCAACAGAGTCACCACCACGTTGTTTGTGGTAGCTTTGCAACCATACACACAATTTCAGATATTTGAGTGCCTTGGCCAGCAAAAAATATAAAAAAGTCAATATATATATCATATACATATTTAAGCGTCAATTATTGATGTCGACTTATTAATTCCTTCTCGGCAGAAAATAATTCAATTTTCAAGGAGAAATTCATTCCATTACCCACTCCCGGACATGTAAATATTGTATCTAAAAGTAGTCCAGACATAGATAAACATTAACAGGCAACAGAAAATCGAAAGCACTGTTTTCGTTTAAAGCCTGAATTATTTTTCAAATCTGAATTAATCAGCAATAGTCGATATGGTATGGTTCTCAAAAGACGTCAGTACGTATAATTATTCATAAGTAAAATTAATAAGTTCGACTATCGGCAGCAAAATTTCATTAATCCTTGTTCATGACTGGATTAGATACCGGAGGACGAGGATGGCAGCGGGGGGACCACTCCAGGCAGGAGCCAAGTTGAGTGCCCATGACGTCATCATGAGCCTGTCCCTTTACGTCAGTGATCCACGTGGCAGCATTATTGACTCACTCATGCCTCATGGCTCAGAAATTTGCTTTTCTCCCTTATCCCCCCATTCGCAGAGACGGAGCGTGAGCCACACTCACCAGCTTTCGTACGATAAAGTTTCCCATTTCCGTATAAATTGCGGTGCCGCTTCTCCCCGTTGGCATACTTCAGTGCTCTCCTCGCCTCACCTTCCATTCCTCTCTCGTTAACTGCCGTTTCCTTCTATAACATCATTTCGCTTTGGATTTCCTCAATCAAATCTTTCCCAGAAACTCGTCTGAAAAATATCAAAGCCCTTGAACCTCTTTCATGTGAAGCTGAAATCTTGAAGAGAAATGGACAGTAGTGTGCAGCAGAGGACACCGAGTAAAAGAAGCGACAAACTCAAGAGGAAACCCGTCAAGGTAGTGTACATATCCAATCCCATGAAGGTGAAGGTCACTCCGTCGGAGTTCATGTCCTTAGTGCAAGAGCTTACAGGTCAGGACGCCGAATTGCCGGCGGATCTTTCCAGATTCCAGAACCCCGACATCGACGGTGCCCATCAGACGTCGGATTCTGATAATTCGTCGGTCACAAAAAGTACTGGCAGTCATGAAAGTGATCACCCGCTAGTGATGCCTCAAGTGGACCCTATCTTTGATAATTTTGAAGGCCAACTTGGAGGCTCAATGGAGCAGGGATTTGATCCATTTGATCATCATGTCTTCGCCCCTTATCATCAGATGATGGACGACATTTCAGCTTTCTTACCCTCGACTGTATTCTACGAACCTGATCTAGTCGACGAGGAGCCGCGCAGGAATGATGCAGTGTAATCACTAAAATTACCCAGTAAGCTCTCGATTGTTTCCCCCCGGACCAGACCTATTTCTGGGAAATTTGTCACTTTCGGATAATTTATATATTACATGTATTGCCTTTAATTTGTTTATATGTGATGCAACTACTTTGTTTATGTCAGGGAACATGTTTATTAACTGTAGCCTTGCCATTGGCTTTGTTCAATTTGATTTAATGTTGGATTTGGGCGTGATAGAACAGAAATCCCTGACTCTAACTGCTAGGAATGGGCTCTTAGTCTTGATTTCTTGAAGAAGATTGCTAGCCGCAACAGCAATGGAAGGAAACCTATAGCTAATCCTTGTATCAAAAAGTTGTTCTAATCATTATTTAGTTGAATTGAAGATGGCGATCCAGTCAGTTTTGAAAGTATAAAGAGTAAAGTAAAACAAGTGGTTCAAATTGATTGCGCTCCCGATGCATATATATATATATATATATATACACTGGGAGCGCAGACGAATGGGAAGCGTGAAAACGGAGAACTGGATGGGGATTAAGGTTAAAGTCATGGCAGAATCGAAGAGTCTTTGAGGTGTGATTGAACATGCCTTTTGCCTCTGAGGCTCTTCCTTGGTCCTTTTCTGAGTAGGGCCAAATTAACATCTTTAGGCAGCAAGGTGAGGCTTTATTAAGCGAAGAATGTACAGCAAATAATGGTCAGAAATATCACCAGTGTGGTGTTTCCAAATCCATATTTAATTACGACTTGTGATAAGTTTTTGAGAGCTGGCCGGTGTGGGGCTTTCCAGCTTGCTGTGGTATAGAGGGTTTTAAACTTTTAATTAACTACATAAATACTTGACTTTTGTTTCCATTTCCATATATATATATATATATATATGTGTGTGTGTGTGTGTGTTTTTCGGCTGGTTGTGATATTTCCCAGTTGTGATCATAAGAAATTCAGAGCTGAAGTGATTTATATCAACCTCTTGTTCCTTTATATCTGTAGTGGCGGTCTCATCCTGTTCTATTCAAAGCCCAATACTGCTTGCCTATTTTACGCCCAAATAAATGTCAGTGAGCCCTCTTATTTAAGACACGCGAGTTGCAACACTTTCGCTCATTAATTACTACGTGCCTCCGGTTTATAATGAAAAAATTATGTATATATACTATAAAAGTAACTTATTTAAAAATTATAGTTAAATTTATAGGATCTGAGTGTGATTTACAATTGACATGAAAAGACATGATTTCTCCTTAAATCCATTTGAATTTCAGAAAAAAAAATCATTTACTTATAACTTTAACTTTACAATTTATGTCAAGAGGATATTCTTTATTCATAGGTCATATTTTATGTTTTATAAACAATAAATTAAAGTTGTATTTAATATTCAATTATAATGGTAAATTCACAATTTATAAATAAAACTTTTAACTTTATAAATTCTATTTCGTGTTTTATAAATAATAAACTTAAATTTTGTTTATTATTTATTTATAATCATAACTTCATAATTTACAAAGAAAACTTTTTAATTTGCAAATCCTATGTCATATTTTATAAACAGTATACTAAAATTGTATTTATTATTTACTTATGATTGTAACTTTATAATTTACAAGTGAGGCTTCTTAATTTACAAGTTCTATATTGCTTTGTCTTGTACGTTTTTATCATTCATCAATTCGTGTGCTGCTCACTTTCTTATTGGAATTGTTAGGACGAAATTCATGATCCTTCATCATCTTCGCAATCAATTGTGATTGACACCACTTCTCTTTGTTCTTATAATTGCTTGCTTTATAATAATTTCAACCCATAATAACAATTTCAATAGTCTCAACTCATAATACTTAGAATCTTAATTTTTTAATTAAGATTAATAATAGTCCCAACCCGTAATAATAATTTTAGTAATATTTTTTCTTGATTTTTCAAATGAGGCTCCATCAACTATTTTATGCATTTACTCATGGGCAATTTTATAAATTCATATTTGTTTTTAATTTTATATAAGGACCATGGTCCATTATTAAGATTTTAATAATTCAAAGTCTTTAATTTTAATTAATAATTTTATATGATCCTTAATTATCATTTTTTTCAAAAATTTACTGCCATCTATTTATTTTTAATATTTGGGCCCGGCACTATCTTAATTTTGATGGTAACAAGCACTGCAGGGCAACAGAGAATTAATTGATAGTGACCAGATTCCCTTCTAAAATTATATTATATATTATAGATTAAAAAATTTAAATTTAAACCATTAAAATCAATTTTAGATGATGTAGCACCATGGTGCTCACCCAAAATCAAAGCATTGAAGACCGGATCGGTTATTGAACCAATTAAGACATTAATTTAAAAAGTAATGATTGAAATTGTAGTCATACCATAATCAAATTGATAATAAATAAAGCAATTTATAATTAAATTTGTGAATATATGCTAATTAAATGGTTTAATTTACTAATTTAATTAAGTAGATTGACCTGAATTTTCATACTGTGCCTGAAACCCTTATCAAGCAGCCCTTCATGCCATGTTCCAAGAGCCTCGGCAAGCAAAGATTGGAGGGGATGAATGAAGAACTCGTAAACCAGTGGGCTGGGTTCTGAACAACTTGCCGTGAAAGCCAGCTAGCTATAAGGTATCAACATTGAAAACAAACGTTGTCTAGGATCTACTTGCACTTCAAAATTTGTTATAACGACAGTTCTGCAATTTGCAAGCTGTTAAGCCCTCTAATTGCTATTTGATCCCTGACAAAAAAAAACACTTCATATATATTGTGGTCTGTTGATTTTTTGAAGAGCCTGAGCCCTAAAGTATCTGCCTAAATAAATCGTGGCATATGATTAGCGCATATACAGCTTTCATGCATTTCTTGAATGATTTCAGAGTTTCTCGCGGGCTCAAGAAAAAAAAACGAAATTAATTAATTCAGGAGCTTTTTGGCGTCGCGGGTGAAATTAAGTAATCAAACTTCGTTAGAATTGAATGACGCTTAGGTGGACATGGAAAGCTTGCAACTTGGCGGACCTTGTTGACCTTAAGAGTTAGAGGAAGCGACTTTTTCTTCCCCGTCTCTCAAGTTGCTGGTCGTGGGCTTCGATAACTTGTCTTTTCGGATGCTTATGATTTGCAGGACTCCGTGTTGTCGGTTTCTCTCTTAAACAGCTTTATTCAAGTCTCACTGATTTAATGTTCAATGAATCAGGCATGAGATTCTTTCTTCTTTCTTGTTTTTGGGGTTTGCCCCCAAGTGTATAGGCAAGTTGCTGGTGTTGATGTTGTTGTTTTGGCCAGATCACCGCGAACAAGTTGCTGACAGCATGAGAAAAAAAAATTAATAAATGCAGACCGTAGATATACTCATCATTTGAAATACCGATACACAGTACATATATAAGACAATCTGTTGAAACTCCTATCGCACAAGCATCATACTTCAGATTTTTTTTTTTTAAAAAAAGATCTCAACTCTGTTAAATAAAAATTGAGACGAGCAGAATATATAAGCAGATAACAACAACAACAACAACAATAATTATGGACCTTGCCATAATACTGTAAGATTTTCTGTGTGCAGCGTGAGGGCGCTTTTCATATTTGCTATATTTTTTTGGGATATGCACAAGGGAGTTGTACTGTTATGGAAATCTCTCAACTGGGCCAAACAAAAGGGAAACCGGAAAACTTAAATGAACCAGCAAACCAACCGCCACCATTAAACCCTACTAACCGTCCTCTCTCTCTCTCTCTCTCTAAATAGTAGTCACTTTAACTTTTTAAAAAACATAAAAACTACATGTGACACAACTTCATAGCGTCGTACGTGCTTTTGTTTGCGTTACATGCGTAGGGATATTACTCTTCTAGAAAAAAGCTATTGTTTGGCGCTATATGTTCCGTAGCTTTATTTAGAGCTATTCTCTCATATGCTATAACATTAAAAGACACCAGCCTTTCTTAAACGTTTCTTTCTCCATTTCTTGTTTACGGTCTATTTCAATATAAAAAATACGTTTGTTCAATGCTTAAACAACACTGGCTTATAGAATAAATTACGATCATGCGTGTTTAAAATATACAAGAAATTTTGACAAGAGAGTGTATCTGGGTAAGAGAATATGCTTCTATGATTACGAAACGAGAAAAGCGTGGATGAAGTTGACTTTTCCTTTTCTTGTTATATCATCAGTTTTTTTCAGGGCGTGTTGTGCTTGTAAATTCATTCTTCCGTGATGTTTAGTTTGGTGTTTTTGGATCAGTTTTGTTTGTTTTAATTGGTTCTTAGATTTGGTTGATGGCTGTTGTGTGGCCTGCGAACGGGGGGGGGGGAGATCTCTATGATACTGATATCTTCTGGCCAAAAAAATCAATGACATGTCGTAATTAATCGTAGAACAAACTTTATTAGAGGAGGGAAATATCAACCGGCGCTGTTCATAGTTGACGAAACTCGATAACCCGGTCTTCATGCCACAGAACCTGCTGAGATTATGTACATCTGAACCTGGTATTACCATTACAGCCTCTTTTTATTTTTTATTTTTTTAAATAAACAAGGATAAAATAAACCTATATATAACTAAATTGCAGGAACAGTACAGTCAGTTACAACCTCAGTTTTGCCAACGCGGTGTCTTCCTTGGGATTAAAACAATAATTTAAATTACCCATAATTAACAGCATCACATTCATGCATGGTGCGGGACCACTGCCTTAACATCTCCATTTTCTACCCAACGGTCATGTCAATTGACTTTTTCATTTTACTCATCTTATAAATTATTTATAATATATTTTGTTAATATTTAAGAAAATATTAAAATTCATTAATTCTATTTTAAAATTTAATAAATTTTTAATTTTATTTTTATTAAATATATATATTTTAATAATATATTTTCTCTCTTTAATATTTAATTAAAAATAAAAAAATTATAAAAAATTAATAATACGACTTATAAATAAAATTAATTTTTTTTACATTGTAAATAAATCTACAGAAAGTATCTTAAACCTGGCTTCCCTCTTCCGTGCGGAGGAGCGATTCTTCGAAGAAGCGAAACTAGGTCCATTTATCTTGAAGTAGTTTTGGAAGACTACTGCTTTTCTTTTTTTTTGATAAATAAGAAACAAACAAAACAAACAGCAAATGAAAACTAAAACTCCTCCATGAATGAAGGAATAGAGTCACCAGCCACTACGTGAAGACCCATGGGGAGAGATAAGGCACGTTTCGCTAAGGAATCAGCTTCTGAGTTGAATTCCCTTCCAATGCATCTCATATCAACCTGGCAATCTCTTTGAAGTATTTGTTGAATTTCAGCAATAAGCTCTCGGTCTTCATGAAGGTCGTAATTATTGGCTCTTAATAGAGATAGTACTTCATGACAATCACTATGGATTCTTACATGCTTAGTTTTGATATCCCAAGCACGCTTTAGACCCATATAACAAGCCCATAATTCTACCGTCAGATTATCCCCCTTCTCTAAACGAAGCATGAAAGCTTCAATGATATTCCCTTTGGTATCCTTAACTAGACCTCCACAACCCTTAGAATTAGTAGCAGCCGCAAAAGCCCCATCAACATAAACAAAGAGCTCATCAGTAGCTAAGATAGTCATATCCACCTAATTATTAGGACGAATGCCAGCAATAGATGTATTTTGTAAACAACAGTTAGCCACGTTCATGCAGTTAAGGATAACAGTAGCTTGTGCTATGACACTTACTATAGTCGATCTTCGTCCCTCAAAAACTCTCTCATTCCTACTTTTCCATATTGCCCAACACAGAACAACAAACAAATCACACCACTTGAAATTATTAACTGTTACCTGAATCTTGAGATTCATCTTGCACCATTCATGTAAGTCTGTGGTAAAGAAAGCCCGTCTTTGAGAAGGGCGTAATAATTTTATCCACACTTCCTTAGCTTCAGGGCACTGTCTCATCACATGAAGAGTGTCTTCAAACTCCTCAGGACAACAACTACACCACGGTTGAATATCCAAATGACGGTCAAAGCGAGATTTATTAGTAAGGATACGATCATGACTCATGAGCCAAAGGAAGGATCTACACCGCTGAGGCACTCGAAGCTTCCAAATCTTGGCCCACATCTGATCAGGGCAATCATAACTATCTATCAATGAATCATAAGCAGAACGAACTGTAAAAATACCATGCTTCTCAGGTTTCCATCTAACAACTTTCTCATTCGCTTGGTTGGTTATAAGTTCTAACTTTGCTTCAACTTTCTCCCAATTGTTTCTCAAACCTCTCCAGAACTGAGATCCAGGGAGAGTCCTATTCACTTGTGGAATTAGCTCCCTCCCACATTTATATTTACTTCTAATAACTCTAGCCCATAAAGCCTCCTTGTTATGTATAAGGCCCCATCCTGCTTTCATCATAAAGGCTTTATTCTGAAGATGTGCATGTCGTAAACCTAGTCCACCATTTATTTTTGGTTTACACACTTCATCCCACGCTACAAGATGAATCTTTCTCCTTTCCCTTGTTGAGCCCCAGAGAAAACCTCAAGAACATTTATCAATCTCCTCACAAGTACTCACAGGTAGATGAGCAGTTTGCATACAATAAAGAGGAATAGTATTCAACACAGACTTTGTTAAGGTTGTTCGTCCTGCAAAGAAAATAGAAGTTGCCTTCTAACTAGATAGTCACTGTTTCATTTTATCCACCACAAATTGATAAGTATTATTGGTCACACGATTATGATGGAGAGGGACTCCAAGATATTTACCCAAATCCGCCGTACGGTTAAATTCAAGAAGGTCACTAAGCTGCTGTGCTTTATTATGATTCACATTCCTAGAGAAAAACACCCTAGTTTTAGAGTGACTTACCTTTTGTCCGGACATTGCACAGAAACGATCCAGACATTGTCTAATCACCTGTACTTGGTCCAAAGTTGCTTCCGCAAAAATAACCAGATCATCAGCAAAGAAAAGATGGGAGAGAAGAGGACCATCTTTTTTTAAGCGAATGGGTCTCCAATTACCTTTAACAATCTCTTCTTGTATCAGATGAGCAAGCTTTTCAATACATAAAACAAAAAGATAAGGAGAAAGAGGATCTCCTTGACGAAGACCTCTAGTCAGTTTAAATTCTTCTGTTTTACTTCCCTCCCATAAGAGTTGCATCTTAGAAGATCTTACACATTGCTAAATAACCTCAACCAACTTAGTTGGCAAATTAATCTCCTCCAGGCATGAAATAAGAAAATCCCAATTAACTCTGTCATAGGCTTTTTCAAGATCAATCTTAATCGCCATAAAGCCTTTCTTTCCTTTCATATTACGCATAGAATGAATAACTTCCTGAGATATTATGATATTATCCGAGCTAGTTCTTCCTGGAATAAAACCATATTGATTAGGAGCAATAATAGTAGGGAGGAGAGATTTAACTCTATTAGCAATAACCTTAGTCACAACTTTGTAAATAACATTACAAAGGCTGATAGGCCGGAAATCACGAATGGACTCAGGATGTTCCTTCTTAGGAATGAGAATAAGTAACGTCCCATTAATCTTATGGACAAGGGATGGGTTGTTGAAAATACGCTGAACCATATTTATAATAGAGTTACCAATAAACTTCCATTGGCTTTGAAAGAAAAGCCCATTTAAACCATCTGGTCCCGGTGATTTCAAAGGCCCCATACTAAAAAGAGCATTCTTAATTTCCTCATCACAAAAATTACTACCCAACTCATGTAAAGAGCCATTATCAATGCAAGGGAAAGAAATAGAGCAAGGGATGAAATTACCTGTAGTAAGAGCAGAATCTTCATGAAAAAGATTCTTGAAGAAAGACAAAGCTATATTCTTGATTTCCTCATAATCATACGTCCACTCACCATTATCATTTTGAATGGCCTCAATTATATTCCTCTTCCTTCTAGCATTAGCTCTAGCATGAAAGTATTTAGAGTTTCTATCTCCCAAAATAAACCACTCACATTTAGCTTTTTGAGCTGAAAGTAGATTTTCCTGGAGAATAACTTCTTCAAGTTCCTACCAAAGATTCTTCTGAAGACGCTCAAGAGAAGCCTCATTATAGCATGAATTCACTGAGATATTAAGCCCTTCAATTCTATTGAGAAGATGACGTTTTTTTCTACTAATATGTCCAAAAACATCATGACTCCACTGGTTGACTGCATTAGTAAAGTTAGAAACATTAAGACACCAATCTTCATCTGGCAACCAAATCTTATTAACCAAACTCTCAAAATCATCATGAAGGACCCAAGCTGCATTAAATCTAAAAGGACGGTCTTTAATCTTTCTAGCACAACCTTGACTAGTCAAATGAAGTAATAAGGGACGATGATCTGATTTGAAGAAAGGGAGATGAGTAACAACTGCCTCAGGAAAATAATTGTTAAAACTTTCATTACTCAGCACTCTGTCAATCCTACTCTCACTTTCTGCTCGCTTCCACGTGAAGTAAGGACCCTTACATCCCAAATCTGACAGCTCGAGCTCCTCAACCCAAGAACAGAACTCTTTATTAATACTAGCTCCGGTCTGGTGAGAAGATTTTCTATCATGTAAAAAAAGAGTACTATTAAAGTCGCCTCCGATACACCAAGCCCCAGTTATAGAAAAATTAATTCTTCTCAGTTCTATCCAAAGAGCTCTGCGAAGAATGGGGTTAGGACTAGCATATACAGCTGTAATAAATAATTCATTGCTGCCATAACTAAGTTTCGAATGAATAAATTGGTCGTGTTTCTGCAAAATTTCAAACTTCCAAGAAGCATCATTCCATAAAACCCATAAACCACCACTGAATCCTCTAGCATCTACAACTTCAAAATTATGGAAACCCATCGCCTTCGCTAGTCTCTGCGCCCTACTACCACCAGTACGTGTCTCTAGCATGGCAAAAAAATCCACAGAATGTTTTTTTGAAATTTCCTTAACCAGCCCAGGAAATGATTTTGAACCTGTTCCTCTACTATTCCAGAAGACAAAATTCATCAAGACATATTTGAAAAGGAACGAGCTTCAATGCTCAATAAATTATTCCCCTCGTTAGAGCCCTCATCATGGTTTTTATCTTCATGCATGACAACTTCTGAAATCGCGTCTATCTCATTAGCCATAACAACTTTGCTTCCTTTACTTTTGAAAATAGTCTCATCTTTCGTCTTATTCACATAAATCACCTCTTTGTGAGCTTTAGAAAAAATTTCTTTATTTGGGCCCACATGCATCACCATTTGATTGAAATTATTTTCTCCCATTTCTTGAAGCCCATTATCTAATACTTTAAAAGTATTTGAAGTTTTCAAGTCCAAACTGCAATTACCTCTAATCTTCATCACGTGAGATCTGGTTCGGTCAGCAGGGGGAATATGTTCTTTTCCTTTGACTTTCCCAATTGTTGATCCCTTACGTTTTCTCCGACTGGGACCCACTCTGAGTGATTCTTTAATATATTCTCCTTGCTGAAAATCCGGTTTCCTGCTGCCTTCTGATTCTGTCCGCCATGATCGCCTCTTTTACGTTCACCGGTTGCAAATTGCACTCCCTTTTTTTCGCCTCCTCCTCTCTCCATATCCTTCAATCTCGCATCTCCATCATATAATCCCTTCAAATCCGCACTACCATATCTCCAGCGTAACTGACGCTTAATCAGCATCTCCGGTCCGTATCTGTCTTCAGCCACCGTGTTTTCCATCTCTCTAATTTTTTCCTTTACCGGCACTGCATTACTTACAGGGACCTCCTCAGAAATAGCCCGAAACTCATCCCTTTCCTCGCTGGTATACGCTTTCTGATCCGCTTCCCTGCTCTTTTCAACTGTATCAGTATTCCCTAGCTTTGAAGGAATAATTTTCTCTGGGCAAACATCCTTATGATGACCATATTTACCGCAATGAAAACACACTAGGTGCAATCCTTCATATCCTATTTTTATATCCTCATCGAAATGCATAAATGAAGGGAGTAAAGGCTGGCTTAAGTCTAACTCAACACAGATTCGTGCAAAGGCCCCCATATCTGAAATAGAGGTTGATAAATCTATCTTCAAGGTCCTTCCAACCATGTTTCCAATACGTCTCAGTGATTCCACATTATATAACTCAACCGGTAAATCCATTATTCTGATCCAAGCTGCAATCCTCCTCTGGGTATCCACTTTTCAGGGATTAAAATTTGGTCGCCACTTCTATACTAGGAGGTAATGGTCATCTATCATCCACGGACCTTCTTGATAAGCATAATCGAGATCTTCTTGCTTTGTGAAAGAAACAATAAAATACCCATTACTGAGCGGTGTAATTCTCATTGGTTCTTGAATTTTCCACATTCTAACCAACCTTGGCCTAAGATATCTTAATGGGATAGTTTTACCCATTAATTTAACAATTAAAGAATTTAACTAAGGACGACACCACTGCTCATACTCTGCCTGCGTGAACTTCAATTCTGGTTTCCTATCATACACATCCTCCAGAACCTGGCAATCTTCATCAGATAACTCACCATGCTGCTTCTTCTCCTGATCATTACATTTGGCAAAGTATCCTTTCCAACCCTTCAAAAGATCTTCATTGTGCTTGCTACATGATAAAAACCAGAGGAATTCAAACTGAGTAAAGACTCCCTATACGACTTAGGAGCTTTAGCTTGGACCATCTCTTTCTCCTTACCAATCGAATCCTTATTCGCCATGAAAACAAACTGTGGATCACCAGTTTGTGACCCACCAGTTTTATCTCCGCCATCCTTCTCGTTTCCACAGCCGCTAGCACCTCCCTCACCGCCTCCGGACTCTCCAGGATTACCATGCACTTCACTCTCCATTCTCTCCCTTCAGCTCTCTCTGGTCCCTTCTTTCTTCACATATGTAAGACTACTGCTTTTCTTCAAATAAAGTGACAGCGTGGATTGAGCTTACCAATTTTCACCATAGAAATTAAAATTGCCAAGATTTGATGTTATTTTCAATTTTTATATTTTAATAAATTTAAAGTTTAAGTAAAAAGTATAAATTAAAATATTTACATTAAAATTTAAAATGTTTGAGATATTTAGAAAAAATTACATAAAGATATTGTAGAGAAAATTTATTTATTAAGAAATCTTGTGAAATTTAAAAACTACAATTAGGCTCTTGGAGTCTGAATATAATTTAAAATTTAAAAAAAAAGATAATAATATCCTTATTAAAGATATATATATTATGTTAGTCAAATAATTTATAACTATAATTTTAATTTTTTATAATTATAATTTCACATATTCAATAATAAAAAGTTATAAAATAATTATTTGATTAATGTAATATATGTTTAATATAGGTATTACTATTTTTATAATCTAATTTTAAATTATATTTAAGTCTTAAATAGTTTGATTGTAGTTTTTAAATTTTGTAAGATTTTTTTATAAATAAATTTTTTTTTTGGGATCGTGTGCGTAATTTTTCCAAATATATTTGAATGATCCCAATCCCACCAGCATAACCATCATGGCACTCGCCACCGTAACCGTTGGTGCTGATCCGATGAGCGTGATGACACCTGCAGCCTTTAAAATTGTCGAGCTGATTTGACCGAAGGGTGACTAGTTAGGGTGTACTTTGGTCTGTCACATTAAATCTTTGTGATTAAATTAGTGATAAATAAATTTATTAAAATTATATATATATTTTTTATAAAATTTTATTTTAACAAATATAAAAATAAAAAATAAAAAAATTTAAATTTAGTTGATTTAAGTCTCATCAGATGTGATGGACATTATGATGCTCATTTTATAATGAGTACAAGACAATTCAGATTTAGTGTTAAATTTTTTATAATTTTTATATTAATAAGCATAATATTTAAAAATATTTAAAATTAATTTAAATAAATAGAAAAAAACCATTTCAGAGAAAAATAAGGGGCTTAAATTGAGCCACGCATGATCAACATGCCATTATGAATACTAAATATGGACGCGTTTGCAAAGCAGTTGCATGTTGTATCATTGTTTTGAAATCAAATCGGACTGAATGGTAAGATTGATCAGACGGTCGACCGATTTAATTTTCAGTCTAATTTAAAAAAAATTATTTTAAAAGTTGAGCCGATTTGAGCCATTTCGAACCGTCAGTTGGACAAAAATTAGAATCAAGCCGGGAATCGAATTCGATTTTCAAAAATCAGAGTTGTAGAGTGTTAATTTTTTTTTATTTTTATCAATTTTTTTTTAAAAAAAATGACTAATTTTTAATCATTTAATATTATGTTGTATCATATGGATTGTTAAGTGATGATAAACTTAAAATATTTAATTTTTTAAGTTAAATAGCAATTTTATATGTATTTCTTATATTTAAATTATTATATACATATATAATTTTTTTAATTTAATTATTACGTCATCGATTGGACTATTGGTCCAAAACCGGTTGAACCATGTGAACCTGTGGAACTGCTGACTTTTTTGATTTAATGTTGGTCCGATTTTAAAAATACTGCGTACCATTGTATGTCAATAGGAAGACAAACAACATGGAGATTCAGTTATAATAGAGCAGCTGATAATTTGGGCCAAGCCTGACGGGCCATCCCGAACTCGCCCCAAAAATTTAGGGCCAAGTTCAAAAAAAAAAATATTATTTTTTTATTGTTCGGGCCTATTCGGACGACCCGAATAGGCCCCGAATAGGCCCGAGGAATAAAGGGCCAAGCCCGATCAGGTTTGAGCTTGGCCCGAATATCCGAATAAAAAAATAATTTTTTTAAAAAATATATAAAATGTGATAAATATTAATTAATTTTTTAATTTTTATATCATTTTATACCAAAATACTATATATATAAGTGTTTTAATGTAGTCATTTTTTAAAAAAATTAAAATAATTATATTTCATATTTTATTATTTTTAATCAATAAAATATCTCAAAATATCTATTTTAAATATATTTTAATATTAATTTTAATATTTTAAGACCCAGTTTTGGGAAAAAAAATTTTGAGTCCTATAAATCATTTGCATGTAAAAAAATAATTTTATATTTTTTTATAAACTAAGAGAATTAATTTTAAGTAAAAATAAAATTGAAAATAATTTAAAAAAATAAAATTTAGGCATGTACGAATTTTCAACCTCTACTACTAGATAAACATAATAAATAGAATAATATTCTTGAATAATTACTTGATTATTGTCCATGCTAGATTTGGTTAAAAATTAAGAGTAAATTAGAGTAAGAATTCCTTTTATATAAGAGTTAAACAATATAAAAAGTTAAAGAAAAATAATTTCACAAAAATAATATTTTACTCATAATTAAATAATTTTTTTATATAATATAATGATGGCAATTTTTTTATATTCATAAAAATAAAAAGTATAATTTACCTAAAAGTTATTAAAAACTTTGAACTAATCGAAATAATAATTTTAAGTTAGTAGTCTAACTGTGATTGAATTGGGATCAGCTTAATCATAATTAAAATAATATAATTTAATTAAAATATATAAAATATTTATATATGACTATGATAAGAGCAATATTTAAACAATTAAGACATTAATTTACAAGTAAAGGAAATATTCATGAATAAATTATACATAATACAACAAAATAATAACAGAGCTACTTAAATACAAAGTTGATAAATTATTTTTATTTTATTCTTTTAAAATTAAAATAATATTTTACGATTGATAGAATTATTTAAAAATTAAAATTGGTTCAAAAATACAGAAAAAATATTTTTAAAAAGTTTCGGGTATTCGAGCTAGCCCGAATAAGCCCGAAGCCCGAAGGTGTTAGGGTTGGGCTTGGCTATATGGACTTTTTAGAAGGGGTAGGATGCTTTAAGCCCGATCCAAATAAACCCGACCCGAATTGAACCTGGCTCGAATAAGCTCGACCCGCCCGAATTACTGACTCTAGTTATAATTATGACTTTAAAAGGTGTTTTTATCATTAAATTATAAATTCAAGATGATGTTTGATTCAAAATTTATTTTAATATAATATTTTCATTTAATTATTAAAAATAATATAATATCACCTTTATTATTAAAAAAATTAATTTTAATTATTATTATTTTTAATTTTTTTAAATTTTAATTGTTAGTTAATCAAAAATTATAATAAAAAATAAAAAATTGCAGAAAATGACAAGAACGTTACAAAAAATAATTTCAAAAATTACAAAAGAGTACCAAACAAATTTTCTTAATCACTTGTTGTAATGTTTTCAATTAACAATCAAAATTAATATTTGTTAATAGTAGGGGCAGTACTATGCTGTTTTACAATATTGAAAGGGAACATTATATAAAAAATAATATGTTTAGAGTCCCATATATTCTTACACGAATAATTTGGAACAAATTTATTATTTAACTCTATAATTATAGACAAAAATATTTACAACCTAATTTTATCGTGTGGGGTCAATTATATTCTGTTTGAATAACAACATTTCAAATATAAAAATAAAGTTGCGTGCTTTAAAGAAAAATAAAGGAATCATAAATGTATTTGCTTTAAATTACCCTCTCGAGAGGAAAACAAAGATACATTAATATAGATGTTGTGTTGATAAATTTATGATATTCTTGTTGTTCATCATAAAATAAAATTTAAAATTTAAAATTTAAAATTAAAATAATTATAGTTTTATAAGAATAAAAATTTTATTAATATGCAAATTATTTTAAGATGCCTATATTTTTGGATACTAAAAGAAAGAATCATCACCAGAGCATTGGAAGTGTTTAGTCTTCACAATACTTCGAAACTTCGAATATTTCCAACAATACATGCAGATAATCATGATTCCGGGGCATTGATTACATGGGCTAGGTGCCTAGCTAAGCGAGTCACGGTGAAAATGAATTTACTTAATTTACCTTTTATTTAAAATAAGAAATAAATAATGAGAGAAAACGAAAGGGGTAAAGTAACATAATTTTTTTTTATTTTAACTTTTTCCCATCTAAGAGGAAATTAGGAAGAGCAAGAATGAAAATGTCATTTTTTTTTATTTTCTTTCCATAATTTTTTCTCTCTAAAGTATTATTTGATTGGGGGAGAGTGGAGGAAAAATTTTCCTCTTCCTTCACCTTACCAAACAAGCCCCTTC